AGGAGTGTTGAATACCTTTGTGACTCCTACAAGATTCATATGCATTTATTTAAATAGGTCAAATTAGTTAACTTTCAAAGATAGTGTCGTCCTCAAGAATTTACAGAATGCAAGGAATCCTATTTAAAATTGGTTTTATCTTACATGAGTGATAAAATATGATACGAAACACAAAGTTATGGGTAAAATAATGGCAGCACTGCAAAACCCAGATATGTACCACCTATTTCCCTTTCAAATGAGCATGAGAGTGAACCTGAGAAAATGCACGTGTACGAACATATTTGTGGTATAATACATATGCTGAAATCTGACTTTTTTTAAAAAAAAAGTGTGTCTTATGTAGTAAACCAGTGGTCGGCAAACTTTATGTACTTGCGGGCCAAATTTACATATTTTCGGTAGCGCGCGGGTCGCAATATTTCCGCCTTCGAACGATCGTTACATTTAACATCAAATTATGGCGCATTCGCCATATTTCTGCCTTAAAAACCTGTCACAATGAGATCTGTATGTAGCGTGTTTTTTTAATATATCATTCAACAATACAATGTTTTTATTTTCTATTATTATCAATGTGAATGATTATGTTTTTATGGCAACTTGCCTTCGGTACGTCGTCCAAATAACGATCTTACAAGCGAATACAAAATTTATTCTAAGTGCAATGCATTTTAAATAAAGGTGCCCACATCAATATGTTATTTCGAACGTGCACATTACACGTTTTTCACTGTCGCACAGATGAGCTCCGGCGCAGTCCCGGGTCTCGAGGTCGAATTTTTGATGACATGTTTCGTAACGAGTTTAACATTCAATCCCTTGATAACTGCGATGCTGACTGCATATCGAGCAAACTGGTTTTAGAATGCATACGGGACAAAAATACTTTTTCGTCCATGCACCTTGGAATGTTCGACCCACGTCGAGAACTTCCATCCGTTTTTAAATTTAAAAAATCAAAATTAACACGAACAACATACAACTGACGCTACTTGTTACAAAACAAGCGCCCTACATCAGCATTTATTATCACATAAATCTGTGTAGATACAATAATAAATTTAGGATCAATTTTTGGTTTATGTATTAACGCCTGTAGTAAACTCTCGTCACCGCTGTAAATAACAAAATTAGTAGGTATTCAGTTATAAATCTACATGTCCGTGTGCAAACCGACCTGCTTTTTTGAAAAATATAACGGAATTACTGTCACGAATGCTTTTAAATTCCGACATATTTACGCAAATTATGTTACAATAATTGAAAATTCTGCATATTTGCCAAACATTTTAGTTTATACACAACTCATTGTCTTGTGAACCGGAAAAAATTTCAACCGCATGTTCATAAGCATGAAAATCATTACCAACTGTTCGCGTGACACAGTGGCGTACATGGATGGATAGTTTATGAAGACATTTTTCCAAAACAAAAGTAGAAAACCTAATTATTACAGAATAACTTTTATTACAATGCGATTCTTACCATTTTTATTACAACATTTGCATTATTATGAAGCGATAATTTAATTTTTCGTAAAGAGAAAATTCGAAGAATTCCATAGTGAATTCCATAGTGACACCTTGTGTCCCATCACTAATTAATTAATAACTCGCTAATTATCCGACATAATTCATTTAAAATAAATCAATAGGCTTTTGGTACGACATATGATGAATGCACATGCAAAATCTGGAGCAGATTCAATCTTGCTTTCGTGAGATATCGCGTGCATCAAATGTCCGCTGGTTTTCCATTCAATACGCACAAATTTAAAAAATTTTCAGAAATAAAGGCCATCTGTTTGATCATATTCTTTCAACTTTTTTGGCGATAATTTGTACCTTTTTGATGTAATAATATACTCATACCAAAATATTATGACGTTTTCATACTAGTTTTTTATAAAACTCTTTAATGAGGAAATGGGCTTTGACATTCGCAAGATTTAGAGGGGTAATCCACGAGCAAAAGGAGGAGACCTAAACCCATCATTATCAAAAATCTAGGTACTATACATAATGACAGTCCAGGGCGCGCGATTTGTTGACCCATGACGCAGTCGTGCGCGAAAACTTAAGATCAAACGCAAAGAAAAATTGTTTTTAAACAAAAGGGAAACCGCTTTATACCTCGCTGAAATTGTGGTCAAAAGTTTGATCTCCTATGGGGTTTGATTTACGATTTCTTGGGAAACTTTTGTTAATGTATGGCTGTCAATAGTTTCCAAAATAAATGAAAAAATTACTTTATGAATCATTAGGTCTCTCCCATATTCTGTTTAAAGATCAAGTTTCACCGCTTATGCTGAAACTATATACACACTGTAAGGATAAGATACTATTTTTAATCCGGGGGGGACTTTTTATTCCAAATTTAAAAATTTAGGTCGTGATCTTTCATCTGATAGTGAAAATTACTGATGGAATAGTCACTACTTTTGACCATTTATCGGTCTATATAATAAGTTAAGCTTGTAAACTTGATTACTGATTGAAATGATATTTGAAACTTTTAAGTCAGGAACATCCCTGAAACATTGAGACGCAAGAAAACTCCACAAAGCGAAATTTATTTTAATAAAATTAGCCAGACTTGAGACAGATCTTGTATTTTGATGAAAAAGTGTTTTATCTGAGATTTTGTAAGGGACAGTAAACCACATACAAATACTACAATATACAAACATCGTTAATCTCCTGAAAATTGAATTCGTGTGTGAGGGCTTAACTTTAGCTTCCCACAAAACAAACAAACTACGAACAAAACAATAACCCAGAGTGTAACGTGGGTGTTCTCTTTAAACCCACCATTTATTGTGAAAACTTTGAAGGAGCGTTTCCACTTAACAAAACTTTTGTTAGTGACGACCAACATTAGCGATGTCTTAAATTGGTTTAGTCTAATTTGGACCGATTTTGAGACAAATATACAACGACATACGTACAGTAAAAGGCTGACGTAAAATCGTAATCCTTTGAATGAAGTTCCAGCGATCACTGCTGTCAAATGTATCACGTTTGTGGTTTAGACGGAACTAAAACACATTTTCGTTTGTCAATCAAAAATAAATAAACACATGAATTACATCGGATGAATAAAAAGGAAAGCCATATTTGCGCCAATGTTGCCCCACCCCCTCATTTGTAGTACCAAATTTGCTTTTTATTGGACGTAAAATAGTTCGATAAAATTTCCATGGTTCAACCTCTAGGACTAGACAAACTGTGCTCTAAAAATAGTTTACGATAGGAAGTATTTAAAATCTTATAGTCAAACATTTCTCACTCAAGATCATAAAATGGTATTTATTGGTCTATGGATCTGGGTCCAAGGTCAAGATATATTTCTGTATGATGACAGTATAATTCTTATTAAATAACTAAATGCATTTGCAAATTATTACAGTGTTTACCAGTTGACAAACCAAAAAAATAATTAGAAATGGAAATAATGAAGAAACGCTATGATGAAAGAAAAATAGCCTCTCAAAATGGTGATAAAATATCGATCTTTGATTTTATTTAAAAATTCGAAAAGACGATTGAACTTGATTGAACTTGCTTGCACGTCATCAATATAATAATGACGTCACCAATATTTATTTAATAATTTGGTATCCACTTATAAACTATCATCAGCATATGCTATTGATAGTCTAAATCATAAAATTTTGGCCCCTGGTTCAAAAACCTTGCCCACCTAGACTGGCGGGCCATGTAAGTGTGACGTAAAAAGTTACATTTTATTAACAATATTTACAGTATCACAAAAGCAAATGTGGAAAACAAAGTCCGTGCAAATATTAAATTTAATTGCATTCTCAACAAACTCCTTGAGCTATGTTGGCTAAAACATCAAAATATCGCTTCAGTTTGGTTGTGGCAGCACCAGCAGGCCAGGTTGATTTGCCCAACGGGACGAATTTGGCCTGCGGGCCGTGGTTTGTCCATGTCACGTCTGAATGTAACTACATTAAATAGACACCTTTGAAAATAAGGTTATCATCGAACATAATATACCAATACGATATGCTTAACATATTCAATTTTACGTTATTTCTAAACTCTATTGATTGCAGCACGTTTCTGCGATTATTATTTGAGCTACCGTCTGTACCACTAACTGAACAAATAGTACGTATCCGTAACTTCCTGACTTTTATTGTCATATTATTTGTTTTGCGACAAAGTTTGAAATCGTTACCGGTCGACTTGGTTACTTAGTAATATTTAGTGAACTTGCACAAAATGTGAGACTGAAATATGGCTAACCTACTCTTATCGAGGCAAAATTGTTTTGCTTACTTTCTCGGGTACAAGAGCGAAAACACGCGGGAAAGATTAGTTTCAACAATTTCAGAATAGAATGTACCCATTTGCGTGTGTAACTTTAAATCCATGAGCACAAAATGTAAAAACATAAATATGGATAACCCGCTCTTGAAGAGACAAAATGGTTTTGCTTACTTTTATGTCCATGATTAGAAATACGGCGGCGTAAAAAATTCCCTGATAAATTGTACCACATTTGCGTGTGTAACTTAAAATCATGAGCAGAGCAATTTCAAACTTACTGAGGAATTTTCAATTCTGTAAGTCCAATTTTTCTGTCTATCTGGCTGGAAAAAGATTCACTTTATTTGGTGTCCGTCGCTTTCTAATAAGTTTCGATATCAGGTCCTTGCGAACCTTTCTTAACGAATCTTACATTAAAGCACAACTAACTACGTTATAACATTAATTATTCAATAATGATTGCCAAGACGTAAATCATATTGTGATCACGGACCCAATGAATTTTATTGTATGGGAATTTGAAACCTAGCCAATTGTATTGCTTCCCGCTCTCCTCATTGTGTTCTATGTACTTTAATCAATTGTAGAATCCTGATTTTTATATAAAGACCACTGAGATTAAATAACTTTAAAATTGAATCAAATTATTAATAAATACATTATTATATAAGATACATTTTACAAAAATTTAAAACATACCGGGGCTCTCAGTTTGTCTTTGAATGAAAGCGTCTGGTTCAATACACATTCCCCTGTGATATTCCGGCAGGTCGTGACAGGATAACTGCTCAGGCCACGTGACATTATACTTGAGCATGATTGGTTCGCATCTATTCCTCGCATCCTGACAAATCTTGCGGCACGGTGGCACCTGAAAAACATAACAATAGATGATTCAACGATTTTCAAACAAATTAAATGATTCGAGAGCATTGACACACTAATTTTAGAATAGCAGTATTCTGACAAGTAATAATAATAACGCTCCAATAATTTCCGATGGTTAAAGTGGAACCTTGAAAACATATCAAAAGGGAATCCAACAAAGTTTCATTCGGATCAATGTAGCTTGACTTGACAGCATTGAAACACTTATTACAGAATAACAGTATTCTGACAATTAAAGCATCAATAATTCTCGATTGTAAAAATATCCTAACGGTAACCAAGTAGACCCGCTTCCCATTCCTGTACAATGTTCGCCCATAAACAAGTCATAATAATGCAGTTGTATGAAAAAACCATGACTGAAATGTGGATTTTCCCTTCTTTGCTGCGTCCACAGCTTTCATATAAGGCAAACAAATACGAAAATATACTTAAATGAATTCCAGCTTTTTCCGTATATCGTTTTCTCATTTTGGTTCCTATTACAAACTCCATTTGCCACAAAAATATGTTAATTGAGAAATAAGTGTTGACATTATTGATAAGACGAGGAACCGCACGAATTCCGTACGCTCTGTTGTGTATTTATTAAACGGGACAATGACTTGTCTGTATCCATATATACTATTTCACCAAAATTATTTTAGTAGAAATGAGGTTTTGAGTTATGCTTCGGTTGCTAACTAAATTTTTCAATCACGTTTTTAAGAACTGTTTCACCTCTTCATTTTTGCAAAACTTCATAAAACCTGGTACGCGTATATAGGCGGAAACTAGACTTACTTCTACAGCCATAACAGAAAAACAAGGGAATAATACATTCAGGATAAACGGTATCACATTTATGTGTGCAGTTTTATATTCATGGGCAGAATAAGTGTTATTTCACCGACTTGCCGTCGCATTTTACTATGCTTTTGTTTCCTGGTCGTTTCACCTATTCATGTTTCGAACAACCTACTAAATGCTCGACCTCCGTTTCGATCTAAAAGGTTTGTCAGGCTAGGTAGCGCTCACACAACTTATTGGAATATGTGCGAAGTTTGACAACACCACGAGGATTTGTTCAATCGTGATTCGTGACCAATGTCTAATGATTCAATTTTAAACTTTGAGACTTTTTTTATAGTTACGATTATGTTGCCAGGCTTTTAAATTAGTGTAATAAGTTGTGTAGGCAATGCCGACCCAAAAAATGTCGGTCTCTCTAAATGAATAATAAATGTAACTCCTTAAATATCCTGAGATATCAGTGGTTTCTTGTATAAGACCTTGTTCGGAGCGAAATTCACTTAGAAAATAAAAACAAATATCTGGTCATGTCTGTAAATAATATCAAAGTGGTTAACCGCGTTTCTGTCTCACGCTGATTGTTTTTCAAGTAGTCACTCAATCTATTGAAAATTATGGACAGGCATTAATTGCATTTTAATACAACGGTATGGTTTGTTTAACAGGTGAGGTTTGGATCTTTAAAATGTATTTACCGTCCATATTTTTGAAATATGATCTTTTTGCGTGATGTGGTACATCATAACTGTGTATTCTACGTCAAAATAAAATAAGAGTGTGTGATTAGCAGTAAACAAAGGCGAGCGATCTTAAATTCACCGTGACGATGAAAGCTTCTAATTTCGTTAAATATGAGTTTATTGATGAAATTCATGTTCGAGCCATTTTATCATTAGAAAGAACGAGGATTGCATTATGTAGGACGTTCTGGGGCGATCGCAAATAAGGATATGTGGCACTCGTAAAAATATAGTATTTTTCAAACTTCCTAAACTGTGCAAAACGTTCAGCCTTTTATATACAAATCTTATTAAAGATTTGCATTTTTACCAAAACCGTAGAGCCTACACGAAAGTCTTCGTGCACTACGGGTTAATTTTAACTATTTTACTAGTCTTGTTTCCACATTTAGTTCAAAGCTTGTTTTTAGCAAACTGGTATAAAAAAATACTTTGATTCGAGTCATGTTCAGACTTGATATCTACACCACTGTTTGGTGTATACATTGAATGCGCAATGCAGAGGCCTTTTCCCAATTTACCGCACCCAGTTCTAATTTTGGTATTGAAAAATTTCTTATTTTTTCCTCAGGTCTATGAATTGCTATTGTTACTATCACCTAAACTTAATTTAAAACTTTTACAATAGAAAATTCGACAGCCTGAAAATCATCTCCTCCACTCCTCAAATTAAAATAGACAATAAAATTTTGAATTTTAGATAGAAATTTCAAGCATAAAATAATCGTAAAAGTTTCTAATAATTGCATATCAAATTAGTTGATTGTATAGTTAATTTTAATAAATATATATGTGAACTTTAACGTACAGCTAGGTCATGGAATACCTAAACAAAACTTCAATTTTTTTAGTTTGAAAATTGTCTTTTGAGAGCTATAATACCTGAATACATCAAAAATCAAAATCGTTTTTCAAATGAATCAACCATACTCACAATTTTTGGAAATTCTCCTTCGTGATGGAAGCACATCGGTGTAAACATTGAGCATAGAAAGAACTCGAGGTACACGCTGCAATGTATGCTCAATAGTGGCTCAAATTGCGATAAAACTAATTCAGCATTTTCTTGGGAAGAATGATGAACCAAGTTTGGCATATGTGTTAATGTCCATGGCATCCGCATACAACGTTTAACCGTTATTTGTTCACATTTTGTTGCAATTGTGTGTCCAATATGAGTACTTAATAAAAGTATAAATCCAAATGTAATCCCATATATCGAGTTTAAATTTTTCATTTGCGCCGAATTTGAGTCCATTTTGCGGCCGATTGTTGCTGTAATTCCCGGTCTCATTGAGCAAGATACAGGCAAATATTCTTCAGTGCTTGGCTTACACTAGATTCAACAAAATACAAATTCTTGAGTATCACTAAAAATATAATACTGTTGGTTATTAAAAACATTTCCATGGGATCTTTATATACGGTTTTATTGAAAATTGCTCCTGACTTCGCTCGTCTATCTAACAGAACTAAATAAAGAAATATTCTAGGTACTCTCCGTATATAAAGAGAGAAAGCAAATAAAAGTTTCGAGAAAAAGGTTTAGGAGTCGAGAACGATACCAACAGAAATTTATACACTGCCAAGGGAGGCCCATTTATGCATAAACATTTCTAAGAAACGAAATATTACTAATTTTTATACAGTGTTTTCACGCCGTCTCTCCGAGCTAGGCTGTATACCAGGGGTCGGGAACCCATGGCTCGCGAGCCATATATGGCTCTTTTGGTGACGGCATATGGCTCCCAGAAAAATCTATTATTCTAAGATTAAGCTTACTATTGTTACTAGATTTCAAACTATTTTATGGCCAAATTTGAAAAAAAATTCCCAATACGTTTGACAACGCGGGCCCAGCGCATGTATATGTTATGTAAGAGAATTACCAGACAGGCATTGTGACAAAACATGGGGATTCTGGAACATGTATTGTGACATCGCAAAGCGATAGAGTTTTAAAATACTACGGAGATGCCTAAACGAAAAAGGGTGATGAGTATCGTAGATTTCAACTTGGGCTGCATGTGAGCAACCGTTCAAGGCCCGCAGCGACAACATGCAGCATCAGAAGTCACATTAAATGTATATTGACATGGAATGTGTTGACTTTTGAGTAAACGTTTCAGGCCTGATTAAGTGAAGAAATGTTATATGGCTCGCACGGAAATGCAATTGAAAATATGTATATTTTAGGGCTCTCTTGACCAATAAGGTTCCCGACCCCTGCTGTATACAATCAGGAACTAGGACAAGAGAACAGTGGTGTAACTAGGGTGTGGCAGCCATGGCTCGTGCCATGGGTGCCGTTTGAACAGGGGCGCAAAAACGGCGAAAAGTATTAATCATAAAAGGTTATAATAAAATAATTTCAAATTGGGAATAACTGAAACTCGTATTTTTACTCAAATAATAACGTACAAGTATCTCAATGCAATAATAGTCATTATAAATTGCCAAACAACTATCAAGGGGACGCATTTTTAAACTTTGCCATGAGCACCATTTTACGTAGATACGCCCCACTGCGAGTGAATCCACTATTTTTGGAAGGATTTGTGTTACGATTGTTCTTATCACGGAAGGCTTCGGTCTGATTTGTAAAACGTCCATGCCCATTAAGTCAGACTAACATTTTGTATGGATCGTCATCATAAATCACATTTATACTAAACAGATTGTCACTCCCACGACGTCACAAATAATTTATTCTATTCAATTGATGGTACTCCTGAAGTATATAGGTATCTTATATAGGTATCACATGTTGCACAACTTGAACCCTAACCTGGTACACAACCTAAGTTCAGGTTGTGCGCTATCTTGGTGCGCATACTTCAGGAGGTCTCAATTGATTTATCCAATCAAGTTTCTTCGGCCTTTCAATGACAATTTATTTAATTTTAGGTGTAGTTTTACAGGTTGGATTAAACGAACCTACATAAAATAAATACCAAAAATTCAGCGTAAATTATGATTACATCGAGGTATAAGAATGTCTTTTCGTTTTTTTATCGGCATTTTTCCTGTCTGGATTCAACATTGAATATAGACAAGCAAGGTTTTTCAGGAACGAGTTATGGACTTCCGAAGGAAGTGAACACATGTGATACCTATATAAGCATACTACATAGAAATATGTAGTTATTACTGATAGATAATCTGAACCTATTCTCTCTTTCCGAATGAAAAAACTATTGTTTTCAAGGCGGAAGTCCTATACTTTACCTTGTGCTATAAAAATTCTAGATAATAAAAGTTTCTCATGCACTGCAAAACAATCACATCGTGAACTGTATTTTTCACAGTAACTTTTGCATTTTGTTTACTCGGAACGGCAACATTCCAGATAACCAGTTTTAATTGTGCATGCTGATAAAATTGTGCTCGGTGATTGGATAAAAAAATAAGTGTCGATTAGGGTTTACGAATGATAAAATTTGATGATTATAGTCAAAATTCTTTACTAGAAAAAGTTAGTTAGCTTTCTGAGCTTTTAAAACTTCGTATATAGAAGGAAAATGAATAAAGACCATTCAGGAAAAGTGACTTTCTCAACAAAAGTCGGAAAATCAAGGTATATTTGGGCTTGTATTATCAAATAAAAAAGCTTAATAAATTTCTCGCCCAGACAGAACCGTTACCACAGTCACGTTCAATTATTTATTTTAAAGCAATCGTAAACTTCAATCACTAGTTTAGTTACTGATAGTATAAGAGATAAAAGTACAAAAGTCGGAAACAGTGTTTTATGTGATTTTGTTAATAGGGGTGTTTATTTTGTGGGGATTTACAAGAACAGACAATGTCTGTTCGCAGTCAAAGTTTACCGCTTCTTTTATAGTTTGGTGAATTGAGTAAGCTACATTCCGCAACAATATGTCGCAACAAGGGATGTTGCTATCGAAGATAAATAAAGCACAACCGGTGTTAGCAAAACGATTTAATTTGCCGACGTTTAGAACTTCTATTCAAAAAAACTTGGCCGCAATCTCGGTTATGTACAGTTTTACCGAGTTTATAATGTGTGCACAAATAAGTTTTACAATAATAATAAAAAGTTAAATAACATTAATAATACTACGTCAAATAGGAAGAAAAATTTTCTCTTCTCCCCAAGAACGACCGAATTCCTCTACTGTGAGGAATTCCTCATCGATTGGGAAATAAGGATATAAGGCTTCGATTAACAGAGAAGTCTATGAGCTCATGGTAACATACGGTTGTACATGGCTTCTCGATGAAAGAAATGCATTATGTAACGAATTTACTAGAACGATATCTCTACTAGTATACATTAGAATGATTGTTCACATACATGAAACAACACATAGCTTTACTGGTTTTGAATGACGCCACGTCAAAATTTAGGAAAAAGAAATAAAATTTACATAAATCTTCAATTAGATCTTTCTCATATCGATCTTACATTAATTGGACAATAAACAGCTTTATCTAAACAAAAATTTCAACAGAAAATAGTATCATGCGGGGATCATGCGGGGATGATCATGTGCGAGAGGATTGCTAGACTCCTCGCCGCCGTAGGGTGGTTCACGTAACCCATGGTCGGTTACGGCTTCCTCCAACATCAAGTACATGCTTCCGAAAACAAATAACTGACTAACTAATCCTATACCCGACCTGGACTGGTAATCGGACGAGAGGCCGTGGTTCGCCATATGATTAAGCCGTCTTATCGACTTTCCTCTCCCCCGGGATAAATATGTAAATCCTTCCTTCATAAACAGTGATGCTATGAGTGAAGTGAAAGTTGGGAAAAAATGCCACCAAACTAAATATAAAGTTTTGTTTGATTACTAACTGCAATACAACCGATGGAGTCAAGGTACAAAATGATACTTTAGAATCACTGAAAAGGCGATCTTCTTTCATAAACCAATTGACACAAATGGCAAAAGCATTTCGATCTGATTCTTTCCCAAATCACCTCAAGGTAATTCAATTATTTAAAGGAATTTATCAATGAAAAGATATTGTAAAGTCATCCAAGGAAAACAAGCAATTTAATCGAATTCTATCTATAATACGTGCTTCATTTGCACCAAATCTAACCATTACAGTTTAAGCAATACATCATTTCTGATATAAAACTTCCCATCGCATTTTAATAACTTCGATATATTTACAAAGATTTAAGAAATTGTATTTTTACGTCATATTGACGTCATCAGGCCACGAATAATCATTCATCACTATCAAATATCACTCAGGAATTCATTTTTGTGTTTTATCAGCTTTTAGTTTATATTTCTCGACATTGAATGATTTTTTACATTTTAATATATTTTTCAGAGTAACCATTTACTTGAGCAATTTGAACTGCAAAGTAAGAATTAATCTCCAATAGTGGAAGCTAATATTAAAATAGTGTAAAATAACGTAAATATATTTATATCAGAGACTACCAACAAACCTTCACTACAAACAAAAACTCTTATTCGAGCGAGCAACCACGAGCAAGCAAGGCACTTCTATATTTGGAAGAATCTTTTAATTCCGGAACTGCCAAACCAATTCATTACACCCGAGTGTTTTCTAAATTGCAAAGACTTTACTGAAATGAGTATTCGGGTAAAAGTTATTGCAATGTTGAATGTTGCGTTTCCTCGGAACGATGGGTGGGAGTCATCCACTATGTATTCAATATATCTGAGCATAACTTGTTTGAATAGTTTTTTTTGTTCTATATTAAGTCGCACGTGCGTCATTTAATGCTTAGCACAGCAACCAATACATAGGAGTGTTGATTGAATGAGGCAATTAAAACTTACAGAAAACTGATGGAAAAAGCCAAGTCATACCAGACGATTACTATAAATACATTGTTGACATTGTAAAAAACGCGGTTATATTATACAATTTTAATAAAAAAAATATTTTAAATTTTGTTTATTAAACATTTCGATGGCCCTGGACATACACAGTAGCAGTACTTGTTCAAGTTTAAAGGCGTCGTAGGCAAACAAAATCAGGATAACAACAACAACGTCAGTTTGGTTCAAACGTTTTGCCTATACATTAATTACCGCGAAAGTCATTTTTGCCCTTACTTCATTTAAATGGGCTTTGTATAAATATATATTTTAGACAATCATATATTAATCATTTTAATACACATATACAAAAGTGTTAGTTTATCACATTAGAAGTTTCGATATTTATTGTGGTTCATAACAATATTACAACGTCACTCAGATTCCCACATGAAGACAAATATTTCTTATTAATTCCAGATCGCGTTTATGTGGAGTTTTAGCCGTAGTTTTACAGTAGACGTGGCCGCAGACGTTTGAGCGACGTGTCGATATCGCTCTTGCCAAAATTAGTCTGGGAAACAGACTTGTGTCGGCGGACCG